AGGCTGCAGAGGGCTGCATGGAAAGGCCCGGGCTGCAGGGCCTCAGGCTTGCGCCCCGGGCGGCTGGGGTCTCGGGGCCCCAGGGCCTCAGGCTTGCGCCCCGGGCGGCTGGGGTCTCGGGGCCCCAGGGCCTCAGGCTTGCGCCCCGGGCGGCTGGGGTCTTCAGAGACAGGCAGTGGCTGCCTCCCACCAGCTTTCATGAGGCCTGAGCGTCAGAGGCTGCAAAGGTTTCAGTTCCCAGGAACAGCTGAATTCAGGACCATCCCCCCTCCCCCAGGAAGCTGTACCCAGGGAAGCTGCCGCCTCTCCAGGGTCGCACGGAGGTGCTGTCGTATGCTCAAGAGGCTGAGGTAGGAGGATGCGAGCTCAAAGCCGTTCTCAGCAGGAAAGCAAGTCCATGAGACTCACCTCCATTAACCACCCAAAGCCTGAAGCGCTGTGGCCCGAGTGGCAGAGCTCCAGCCGGGAGCTAAAAAGCTGAGCATTGATCATACAAAACCGTATTTATCAAAATGAACTCCAGAAAACGGAAATAAGAGGCTTTTTTTCCCTTTTCGTCCTGTTTGTTCATTTTTGTCTTTGGGAGGGAAAGGAAGGCATAGAAACGGAGGGAGCGAAACGCAGCAGTGGTGCTCACTGAGCACCATGTGAACCTGTGGGTGGGGATGGGAGGGGAACCTAGGAGAGAGCAAGGGAGGGGTGTCCAGAATGAAATCCTGAGGTGTGTAACTATAACCCGTGTGTGTGTGTATCACCTTTATAAAACAATGAAAAATTTTAAAAAGTTAAGCAAACCAAGAAAAGTCAAGTATTACGTTGCTGCACATGACTTCCTGTATTTTCTGTCTTGCAGTGCTAGGAACTGAACTCAGGGCTCTGCTTGCTGGGCAGATGCTCTACCACTTGATCCATGCCCTCACCCCCCTTTGCTCTATTTTTCAGACTGAGTCCCACTTCTGTGCCCGTGCTGGTCTGGATCTAGCTCCCTGTGTGGCTGGAGGGACAAACACACCACCACACTTAGCTGAGGCTCTCAAACCTTCGCCTGGGATGGCCTTGAACTATGGGCCTCCCAAGCTCTGTCTCCTGAGTAACTAGGATTACAGCTGTGAGCCACCATGCCCAGCCACATTTTAGTTTACTTTTTAATACCATAAACAGCTAAAAGCCTACATAAACAAAACCAGACTGGGGTGCTCAGTTCTCTGTAACGGTGCTCAGGGATCCTGGGACCAATGCGTGAGAACCCCCTGGTCATGCATGGACCCAGGACCTAGCGCGTTCATGTGTACAAATAAGCAACAAATGTTCACCAGGTACTTACTGTATGTCAGCTTGGTTACAGGTGTAAAGATACACCTGTTTCTCCTCACTACCCAGGAAGCTCGGAGGGAAGCAGAGCGTCACAGCCCGACAGTTCTGAGACCCCATCTTAATGGGTAAGAAGCTGGCTGTGGTGGCACACACCTGTCATCTCAGCATAAAACAGGAGGACTCAAGTCCAGGCATCTGCCTCGGGAAAAAGCCAGGCCCGATCTCAAATAACAGTTTTTAAAAAGGGGGCTGCAGGTGTGGCTCAGCTCTAGAGCATCTAAGCAACAAACGTGAGGCTCTGGTTCAAATCCTAGTACCAGAAATAAAAGACAAAATAAGCCTGCCGGCTTCCCACGGCCGCCTGGTGGACACAGGGTGACAGACGGGGGTCAGGAGTCGGCACAATGAAAGCACACGCTGAAACTCGGCCATGCTGCCACGGGTGGACGCCCGCAAGGTCAGTATGTTTAATGAACTCAGATCAAACCTGTCAGGGCCCGGCCAGCAGGGCGAGGGACCGTCCACAGGAGGGGAAACACACAGAAGCTCAATGCCCGCCTTCACCACCAAATTAGCCAACACTCAGCCCAGAGACACAAATACCCAGAGGGGAGCACAGAAGTTTCTGGAAGCCATTTAGTCAGCAGGCCATGACGACCTTGCAGGTCTTGGTGTCCCGCCGCTGGACGGTCCACCCAGGAGCAACGCCGCGGGACTGGCCTTCTGCTCAGTGCGCTGCCGGTGCTGCACCACGCTGCCCCCGCCTGGAGCCCACGGGCACGGAGGCAGCCCAGCCTGGGAACGCCCACCATGCAGCATGGAGCCAGGAGGGAAATCAAGGCAGGGGGCAGCGCAGACTGGCACCAAATCATTACATTTGCCTTTGTCTATAAAGCACGCTGGCGGCGGGTGGGAAACCCGGCGGCTAGGTGACCCCGCGTGGGGGGTCCTCATGTCCAAGGGCAGATTGGGGCCCCTACCCCAGCGGGAGACCACGGAGAGCAACGGCTGCCGGACCCCAGTACTGTGGGCAGCGGGCCCAGTGCCCACCGCCAGGGCCAGCTTCCGAACCCCAAGCCCCGTCTGCGCCTCCTCGAAGCCCCTGAGCGAACACTCGCTAAGCAGAGGGACCGAGTCACCTGGGGCTGCGGACGGGGCCTCGGCCCCAAAGCTGTCCCAAGAGGCCTGTGTCCTGCGTGCCCAGGGGAGCTGCTGAGGGGGCCGCACCGCGCCAGCGTGCCCCGGCTCCCCTCACTGCTCCAGCCACCAGGACGGGCGTATGGCCCAGGCCAGCCTGCAAACTTCCTCGCTCCCACTCGGGGCCTGCGGACACGGCTTGTTCCCTGCAAGTCCCCAAAATGCTTCCGGACATGACACTGCAGCAGCCACGCGGGCTGACTGACCTGATGGCCGCGACCGAGCCACCGGCTCTCCACACCGAACGAGTGAAGTCCCCCGCGGGCGCGGAGCCCCTCCCGCCTTGCCCCGTTCTCTGCAGGTCCCCCATCCCTGCTGGTGCCCGGGCTCCCGGGGTCCCCCAGGGTGGCACAGGCCCCGGAGCAGCTTCGTGTGGAGACCGCTCCCGTACCAGCCACGACGGGACCCCCGGCCCCTCCAACAAGGCTCTTCGGAGTCCGAGGTGGGGCGAGCCGGGGGCCCTCTCCCCTCTCCTCTGCTCCCCTCTGTCCTATCCTCCCACCCCCACCCCCCTTCCAGGCTTCAGACCCAGTGCAGCAGCGCCAGCACAAGGCATCAGCACTAAGCACCAAGAAGCAAAATACAATCACATCCCCAAACCCAGCCAGCGGCTCAGACAGGCAGACAGCCTGGACACAAAGGGGGAGCCTCGCGGGCTGGGTCAGGGCAGCAGCGGCTCTGACACAGAGCCGGAAGCCAACGGGGGCGGCCTGGGGCCGCACAGGGGCCGCGGCCTCCCCTGGCCCAGCGGCCCCGCTAAAACCCTCCTGGTCTGGGAGTGGCTCGTCCTGGCAGCTTCAGGACCCTCCAGGCAGCTGCGGCAGGCTGGGCGCACTTCCCCGCGGTGCCCCTCCTCAGGACGCCCCCAAGGGCTGCCCCCCACCCCACCCAGCCAGCACCAGGGCTGATCCCGGCGCCCGAGGCCCCGTCTAGACCCTTGTGCAGCAGGGCAGCTGGGCTAACCCAAGGTATCCGCGCCGGTGCCATGGTCTGCAAAACCTGAGCTCCACCGACACCCTTGCCCTTCACGGCCACGTGGCCGCCCCGGTGGAGCACAAGGGTCCCAGGAGCACAGCTCAGAGTTCCCAAGTCATGGCCGTCTGGGTGGGCACAGACGCGATCGGTCCCCTGTGCTCAAGCCAAGACCACACAGACAGGAACAGGAGAGATGCCCCAGCCCGCCCGCCCACTGTCGGCTGGCCAGGTACACACCACCCATTTGGCACTGGAGTATGGCGGGGAGCACATTCCACAGAGCCTAAGGCCCAGGACTGAGGTCTCAGTTGTCCACCGTGAAGAAAGCATGGCGGTCCGCCCGAGGCCCAGCTCTGGACCCCTGCCAGGGGCCTGCGCCAGCTCTGCATCGCCGCACCCGGCGGGCCCTGGCGCTCTGCCATCCCAGCTTCCAGAGGAGCTGGCCACCCGGGCCTGCTCGAATTGGTAACCCTGTCTTCCTGGACAAAGTCTGGACACGGTGGCCAGGCGGGGGAAGGCAGGCCCCATACAAGGCATCCTTGGAGACCCGGAGATGGTGAGTGGTTCAAGGGCCGAGGCCGGGGCCACGGGGATGGACGGGGAAGGTCTGGAGCCAGAGCAGGTCCATCATGGCCACCTGGACGCAGGTGGCCTGGGCACTCTCCACTGGAGATCGTGGGCAGCACCGGTGGTCAGGAGAGCCCATCCCCAGCTGTCATCCCACACAGGCCCGGGTGTCACAAAGACATCGCTGGGCAGCCTGACACAGCTGCCCGCAGCGCGGACAAGTTCCAGGTTCTTCCAACTCGTGGCATTGTGGGAACGTGGGGAGTCAGAAGCAGGCCTGGACCAAGGGGTAACCTCTAGGGAACTCCCTTTGCTGCAGGACTGGGGGACAGAGAGAAGCCGCCCCCCCACCTTCCCCAGATGCGACATCTCTCCGGAACAGGCTCACTTGGCCACCAAGAACAAGAGCGAGGCCCGGCCAGGGTGTGCAGGCTGGTCCTGGACCGGCCTGGCTTCTTTCCGTGTCCCGGAGGGCATGGACGAGAACAGGGCAATAACGCAGGGCACAGGAAGAGTATGTAGAAGAGCCACAAGTGGCCAGGCTGGAAAGGTTGGGGCCGAGTGAATGGTCCCAGGGCATGCTAAGAGCGTGCGGGGATGCCCAGCGGGCAGAGCTGGCACCTGTGGTGTGGCCGGGTATCCAGGACGGGGATGCATGCACCTTGCTGGGGGAAGGAGCCAGCAAGGAACAGGAAGCACACGGCGGTGGGTGGCAGAGGGAAGCCCAGGAGGGTGGCAGGAAGCCTCCTACAACAGCTGAGGCACACCACGTCTTCAACCGGGGGATGCCGGGGGTGGATCGGTCCTTCCCGGGGGATGCCGTGGGGTGGACTGTCCGGTCCTTCCCGGGGGATGCCGTGGGGTGGATTGTCCGGTCCGTCCTTCCCGGGGGGATGCCGCGGGGTGGACTGTCCGGTCCTTCCCGGGGGATGCTGTGGGGTGGATTGTCCGGTCCGTCCTTTCCTGGGGGATGCTGTGGGGGTGGATTGGTCCTTCCCGGGGGATGCCGTGGGGTGGACTGTCCGGTCCGTCCTTCCCGGGGGGATGCCGCGGGGTGGACTGTCCGGTCCTTCCCGGGGGGTGCCGCGGGGTGGATTGTCCGGTCCTTCCCCGCGGTCGTCGGGGCTGCGGTGCTGGTGGCGGACCCCTAAAGGTTCGGCGCTCGGGCGGGCAGGGCCGGGGCCGGCCT